CTGGCGAGCAGCTGGCGCCCTCCTGCGTGAGGCCGAGGGGAGATCGGACGAGTCGAACGGGCCCGAGCGCGCTGAAGCCTTCATCGAGAAACACCCCCTCAAGTTCGGCAGGCATCCACCGGCCTGGGCCCGAGACTCAGAAGGCCCGTCGCCGGCGGGAAGTGGTGGCACGGGCCTCAGCCCCGCCTGAAAGGTTCTTCCAGGAGAGCACAGCAGGCGAGAAGTCAAAGGACATCTATCGTCGGGAGTTTCAGCGTTTTTCCCAGGTGGGCTGACGAGCAGCAGCGGCCAGTCGGCAAACAGAGCATCGGGGTCACGATGCGAGAGTACTTTCTCCGTATGTATCAGCTTGGCTATGGGCCGGCCATCGGCCGATCTGTCTTCTTCGGGTACCTGTTGTTGCGCTCCAACAACTACAAGCGGGAGAGGTCCCAGCTCGGTGATGTAGCGCGCGCTGGCTGGCTGGGCCAAGAGGTCGAAGGAGGTCGTGAAGGGTCCCGCTTCCCAGGAGGTGCTGCTCGACATGGGCCTTTGGATGACGCAGAATGGGCGTGGTGATGGCGCCGGCTGCCTGGCGCTGCAGCTGGGCGACTACGGCAGACCCTCGGCGAGCATCGAGCTGGCCGTCGGTAACCTGCTGCCGCCTGTCCGCGGTGTCCGTGGCTCGCCGTCGCGCGATTGGGCCGTGATCTTCGCGCCCGCGGAGCTCGGGTTCGTGATCGAGACTGGCCAGGTAGACGACTCGGTGGTGCTGGGTAGCCCGTCGCGGCAGTGGGCGCCGACGGTGGCGACCGCGCTGCTGGCTCGGGCTTCAAGACTGGTTTTCGAGACAGGCGCCCGCGCTCCCTGCGCCGCCACCGATCCCGCGACGCCGCTGTTCCCCGGCTTGACGCTCGCGCAGTGCGAGCGGGGCTTCCGCAATGCTGTGAAGGAGCTGGGGTGCGCCAAGTTGGGGATCACTCCGCACACGGTGCGGCATACTGGTCCGTCTCACGACATCTATCACAAGCGCCGCAATCTCGAGCAGGTCAGGCGCCGCGGGCGCTGGGCCGCCAAGAAGAGTCTGACGCGGTACGAGCGCCGCGCCAAGCTGTTGAAGCAGTGCGCCAAGCTGGACTCACATCATATCGCGAGGATGAACCGGTCTGTCGACCTGTTCCCCGTTGCGGTGCTATCGCAAGCCGAGCTGCTGATTCCACTAGCTTCCGAGTCTAACGCCAAGTCGTTGTGCCCGCCCAGCCCTCCCGTGTTTTTTCGGGCATTCTGCCCAGATGTGGGCGATGTGGGATGCCGAGCTCGGGAGTTTGCAATGCGCGCTCAGTTTCGTCTGTGCCTCGCTGTTCTTTGGGCGGAAATGATCGGTCGAGCCCTCGGCCATCGAAGAAGAACTGCCTGTCTTTTCGCGCTCAGATGTTGTAATCGTGATGCCTATCGGCTCCCGATAACAATGCCTTTCGGCTTTGCCGACGGCCTCGCGGTTGTGGGAAGGCCTCCCTCGAGGCCCTGGGCGCGCTCTTGGGGTTGTAAGAGGAATGTTAAATCTTATTGTGATTTCCTCCCCCCCCGATTGCGCGCCCGTCGGATACAGTCAATGCTTGCCTGTGGCTGTTGTGTGCTCAAGCTCTCCCACCCACGAGCCACCCGCAAAGCAGGGGTGCCGAGCTCGGGAGTTTTCAATGCACGCTCAGTTTCGTCTGTGCCTCACTGTTCTTTGGACGGAAGTGATCGGTCGAGCCCGCGGCCATCGAAGAAGAATTGCTTGTCTTTTCGCATTCAGATGTTGTAATCGTGATGCCTATCGGCTCCCGATAACAATGCCTTTTGGCTTTGCCGGCGGCCTCGTGGTTGAGGGAGGGCTCCCCTTGAGGCTCTGGGCGCGCTCTTGGGGTTTTAAGAGGAACGAACGCTTCGTGGCCCCGTAGGGAGCTCCATCGAAGGCCCCAGTACCACCGTCCGCATGCGTCACGCACGCACATTTCGGCATGCCCCTCACGCGTTTCGTGGCCCCACAGGGAGCCCCACCGAAGGCGCCAATGGCTGCGTTCGCCTGCGCCCGCCCACCGCGCCCATTTCGGCGCACCCATCACACGCTTCGCGGCCCCATAGGGAGCTCCACCGACGGCCCCAATGGCTGCGTTCGCATGCGCCCACCGCGCCTATTTCGGGATGCCTCTCGCGTTTCGCCGCCTCTTCTTACAGGGAAGTCCACTGATGCGCCCACGGGACATTTTTTTGGCGCACCCCTCACACGTTTCGTGGCCCTATAGGGAACTCTTCCGAATTCGTTGCGTACAGCGGCGGTGCTCACAATTGCATATGGTTGGGTCCTTCGCAAGGCAAATTTCAAACTTGCCACCTGCTTATTGTCGCACAACCGATCAACATTAAGGCCCCCGTCACCATTGAACAAAAAAAACCACAGGAAGCCTTCGAGGGCCCCAAATCATGGAACACCTATAGGAAATGTATGTTTGTGTGGTTTCCGCTCCCCTTCTATACGCTTCCGAGGCTTGCGCAGGGACTCCAAGAAGGTCGTTCGATGCACAAGGCACTTCAACAATTTAGATTCCGTGCCTTGGCCTGTCGAGTCTAGCTAGAACTTGAGTGCGCGCGAAGCGCGCGATGGTTATCGTTTTGTTGTTGTTGTTGTTGTTGTTGTTGTTGTTGTTATTGTTGTTGTTATTGTTGCTGTTGTTGTTGTTGTTGTTGTTGTTGTTGTTGTTCTGTTCCCCCCTCTCTCTATATCTATTTGTACATGTCTATGTATGTATGTATATGTTATATATATCATTATATTATATATATATATATATATATATATACACAAGACTGCAGTGGCGCTTCGCGCCATGCACCTTGGTCCTTGAAGTTTGGTATGCAGGCGGAACGGCAGGAAGGTCAAGCCGACAATTTAGCGATAACTCCTTGTTGCCTTTTCCAGCATCGCCTCTAAAATGATGTTATTCGTTATCCTTCCTCCATGCTTATTTTCCTTATTTTCGCCATACCCTGCGCATTTTCCCCATCCTCCTCAGCTGTTTTTGCGGAGGCTCCTCCTTGGAGAGCCTCTGGGGGCCTCACAAAAGTTTCAGGCTTTCTGAAGGCCTTCTGGAGGCTTCCTGGGCGTGTTCTGGAGGTTCTGGGGGCTTCCTCGGGCCCCCCCCCTCCAACCGCGGTCTCCCTGAACGACCGGGTCACGATTTGGAATGCTTCGGGTGTCTTGGGGCCGTCTTGGGCCGCCAATGGGTTCTCCTAGGGCCATCTTTGACCCCTGTTGTGCCGTTTTGGGTCTCTCTTGGACTGCCTGGAAGCCCTTTCGGATGGCTGTGGGGCGAATTTGGAGCCTCCCAGTCGCATCGGAGCGTCGGGAAACCGAAAAGAGCAGACCACCAAGATTCATTAAACACTTTCTAGAAAATCACTGATTTTTGCCTCTTGGGGCCTTCTTGGGAGTTCTCTTGGAGACTTTTTGAGGCCTTTGGGGCCGTCCTCGAGGTCTCTTGGGCCATCTTGAGGCCACGTCGGTCACTCTTGGAGCGCTCTTGTGCCGTCTTGGGGGTCTCTGGGACGTTTCCGATGACCCCCCTGATCGCCCTAGGTGTGCTGGGGAGGCTTGGCAAAACGCCCTGCGAGGCCCGGGGGGCCGCTACGAGGCCCTCCCAAAACCCCAGATCCCGGGAGTCCGTTTTTTTGGGGGGGGGTCCCCCCCGCCCGGGCTTTTAACAAAAAGTAGGAAGAGGAATGTATATGTATATGTGTATATACATATATGTATTAGTGTGTCTATGTATGTATGTCAGAAAGTGTGCATGAACGGAATGTATCAATGTATGTTGTATGAAAGTATTTGTATGTCTGTAAGAATGTATGTATGTATGTATGTATGTAAGTTTATTAATCTATATTATTATAATATATATATATTTATATATATATATAAATATATAATATCTATATATATATATATATAACTACCGCCCCCCCCACCCCCCTGGGCCCCGACCCCCACTTCTGGTGAGTGAGTCCAACTGTATAGCTGCTGGCCGACGAAAATCCCCGGTACCGCCCTCCCAGGGCTCCCAGGGAAGCCCCAAAACGCCCCAGGACGGACAAAGACGCCCCCAAATAGCCCTCAGAACGCAAAATAATAGTACAAGAAAGCCTTCCGACGGCTTTCCAGGCTCTCATCAGGATCGCCGAAGCGTTAACCAGAAGGCCTCCAAGAGGCCCCAAGAGACGTCCGAGAGGCGTCCCGAGAGGGCCCGAAGAGCCCAACATCGTTGATTTTCATACAAGCTTCCTAAAAACGAACCTAAATCAATCGGGTCCACAAGTGTCGAAGTCCAATGCTCGTCGCTTACCACGTGGGGCGGCAGCTACGTAAGGTTGGAAGCGTATGTCTCGTCTCTATCATTGTTTTGGCGTTCTTGGGCACTTTGGGCGTTTCTATTTTTCAGAAGCAGAATGAAGGCGTTACCACTGAGGAGCGCGCACTTGTCGTTGCTTCGAATGACATCGCCACCAACGCCGAACCCGACGTTTGGTAAACCCGATTGTAGGTCCCATTTGCCTGAGGCCGCCCTCCACCAAACATAGTTGCAACGCCTGCTTATACCTTCCTTCCGACGGCTACCTCGCCTTCCGCTGACCATGGAGTCAACTTCGACTCTTGCGCCTTCCAGCCCATCATTTCCCCCTCATGGCATCTTCTCTTCCTTGTTCTCCTCCATGCAGGGCCGCGTCCATTTGGGGCCCCAAAGTGCAATCCATGCCACATATCAGCACCGGAACAATTCTTGTTCTTTTGATTTGATTGTAGAGAAGCCTCCCATCGATCTCCCACTGGACGATAGTACAGACATCATTGCACCACCTACGCATGTCTTTGCGACCAGAACGGTCAAATATACCAGCCAGTTGTCAGTGACCGATGTCTACGACAATTCGGGCGGGGCTTGTCTGGGCTGGTGGGTGGGGTGGGGGGGTGTTCGGGGGCGGAGGTGGTGGAGGGCGAAGCACACGCGCTCGCATGAGCACAAGCTTCTGGAGGTCGCGCGGGAGGCCCTCGCGCAGACGTTCCCCCTTCGGCCAGCGCCTTGGCTTGTTTTTTTCGGCAACCTTTGCTCATGAGCTTTGCCCCACTTGATGTTTGGAGCAGTTCAGAGCCAGCATTTTGTTTGCAGACGGGGGACTTTTTCACGTATTTTTAACCGGGCCGTGTGCATGCTCTGCATCGCAGCAGTAGCGGTCAGGAGCGAGCTCGTGTGGTTGGAGCCATCGCCGCTACCTTTGACCCATCAGCGTTGCGTTCTGCACGCAGATCTCGGACTTTCTCCAGTGATTCGTCGCCCAGTCGAAATGAGAAGCATAAACATCGTTGATTATCATTGTTTTTTTCTAGAGTGTTTAGCCTTCTCCCGTTTGGAGCTTCCAACGCTCCAAAACAGCCGAAGAGGCTCCCAAGACCGCCCCAAGACGGCCGTAGAGGCCCCCAAGAGAGTCCAAGACGGTACCAGAGAGCCTCAAGACTGCCCAAGAGGCGCCCAAGACGGGCCAAGAGCGCCCTAGGACCGCTCAAAAGAGGCCCGAGGGCGGGAGCAGGAGGCCCCAAGAGGCCCCCGAGAGGCCTTGGATGTGGTCTTCTTCGGCGAGCCGTTGACGCTCAAAGTCGCCCTCGGTGCCTCATTGGCGTTCGTGTCAGTGGTGCTGGTGACAGCACAAAAGGTGTGCCAAATTTGACGGGCGTGTGTTCCTCCGATGTGCGAGCATCACATTTAGTAGTTAGGCTAGGGGGTTCAGGCTCTGTGCGAGGCCGCAGCACGTATTTCGACTTGACCGCCCAGGATGCCTGAGGTTCCGTTGTGTCACAGGTTTTAGTCTAGCTCGTTGGTTGGCAGATCGTTCTGCATGCTTAAATCGAATACTATCTCTTGTTGGCCGGTAATCAGCACCACCTCGCGCTCCTCTATCTTCCCTTACGCTTCCTCATGTGTCTTCCTCCCCCTCCTTCTTTTCGCCCTTCACCACTGCTCTGCCTCCTTGTCAAGAGCAACGACGCCGGGCCAGCACTGGGCAGCGCTTCGGCTCAAGGCGTCGCGCGAGGGGCGCGTCGCCTGAGTCGCCAGAGGCGCCGGCAAAGTGGTGGAACTTAGCTTAACAGCTTTACTTTGTGTAACTGTCGCAGCTTCTCGCAGCTTCTGGCCTCAGTGAACCAGAGGGACCCAGGCCCAGGTAGTGGGAGACCCCCTAAGTCTTAGAAAAACACAAAACAAAACAAAAACAGGCCCCCGAGAGGCCTCCAGGACCCCCCAGAGGCCCCCAACAAACCCGAGGCCCATGAGAGTCACCCAAAAAGGCCCCACGAGGCCCGACAACTAGCCCAAGATAGCTCCGAGAGCCGTCTCGAGAGAGCCCGAAAAGGGTAACATCGTCACATTGTCAGTTGTTTTTTAGGCTTTTAGCCTTCTCGTGTTTTCGAGCTTCCAACGCTCCAAGGCAGCCGAAGAGGCCCCCACAGCCGCTCCAAGCCCAAACCGGTCGCAGAGAGCCTCAAGTTGCTCAAGAGGCGCCCAAGACGGCTCAAGAGCGCCCTAGGATCGCTCAAAACATGCCCGAGGGCGGGAGCAGGAGGCCCCCAGAGGCCCCCGAGAAGGAGGTCCCCCAGAGGCCTCCAACAAACCCCAGACCCATGAGAGTCACCCAAACAAGGCCCTACGAGGCCTGACAGCTAGCCCAAGAGGGCTCCGAGTGACGTCCCGAGAGAGCCCGAAAGATACTTGAATCGTTGATTTGCATTATTTTTTTCCCAAGGTGTTTGGCCTTCTAGCGTTTTCAAGCTTCCAACGCTCCAATGCAGCCGAAGAGGCCTCCCAAGACCGCCCCAAGACGGCTGAAGAAGAGACCCCCAAGAGGACCCAAGACGGCCCCTGATAGCTCAAGACTGCCCAAGGGGCGCCCACGACGGCCCAAGAGGGCCCCAGGACAGGCCCAAGATGGGCCCGAGAGCGGGAGCAGGATGCCCCACGAGGCCCCAGAGAGGCCTCCAGGACCCACCAGAGGCCTCCAACAAACCCAAGACCCCTGAGAGGCTCAAGAAACAAACCCACGAGGCCTCAAACACAGCCCGCAAGGAACTTCCTGCAGGCCTCTTAGGCCCCCCGATTCCTGCGCACTACATGGTAGGATACCCGACTTGAAACAAGGGGATTCCAGTTATTCCCTTTTTTGAACTTCACCCTGAGCCCCATCAAGACTTCGGGGTCACAATTCGAAGATCTGTCGGGAATGCTGTTGAATTCTCTGACGCTGTCTTGGAACTCTCTTGGGCCGTCTTCGTGCTCTCTTGGGGAAAAGGCGGCCAAACAATCCCATGAGTTAACCTGTCCAGCATAGGCTAGAAGTTGAGCGCGCGCGCCAGGAGGGAGCCACAAGAGGGGACCTGCCCAAGCCTTTCGAGCGCTCTGCCCTAAGATGGCCCCAAGGTTCTCCCAAAGGCTCTCGAGGCGCCTCCCATATGTCTTCAGGCACTCCCTGTAGGCTCCCAGGAGGCACCAAACGCCTCCTAACAGGCCCCGACAAATCTCCCAAGACGCCGCCAAGAAGGCCCCGAAAGGCATCCCAACAGACCATGGCATGTACCCAGGAGACTTATGTGACCCACACCCTAGGCACGGCAATTTAAAACAACAAACGAATGTCCACAATTCTCTTTTTTCGAGGTCGCCCCCTGTGTATTATTGCACAACATACCACGATTAAGGCCCCCGTCACCACCCAAGAAAGATCCCAGGAAGCCTTTGAGGGCCCCTAATCGTCGAACACCTGAAGGAAATTGATGATTTGTGCGTTTTCGCATTTTCCATCCTATACGCTTCCGAGGCTTGCGCAGGGCCTCCAACAAAGTCCCTGGGTGCAAGGAGCGTCAAGCATGATATGTTCAATGCGTTAACCTATCCAGCGTAGCTAGAACCTGAGCGCGCGCGAAGCGCGCGATGTTTGTGTTTGTGTTTGTGTTTGTGTGTGTGTGTGTGTGTGTGTGTGTGTGTGTGCGTTTTTGTTGTTTCTTGTTTCTTTCCCTTTTCATATACGTATGTATGTTAAACCATTATACATTTACATAACACCACATGTATTGCACACCATTTGCTGCACCACATAAAAAAGCACATCACATAACTTGCACCCCATAGTTTGCACGACATATGGTATGACATTTATCGCACCACATACACTGTACCACACATATTGCATTGCACAACGTCGACTGTTGACATGTGTGTGTGTATATATATCTATGTAAGCATCTATGTATCAAACTATACACATAAATTGATATAGCATACACATACTTTTACATGTACACATATGTTTATACAGTGGCGCATCTAATCCATGTTGCTAGAGACATGCTCTTTGGGAGCCACGCTTGCTAACATTATTTTTATGATGTTCGTCATCACTGGGTCCGTGGAAGTCTCGACCCTTGCCCGATGGGCCATTTTCCATCCCGAGCCGTTTTTTGGCATATCATGGGGCCCTGTCATTTCATTACGTTAGAGGTCTGCGTGCACGTAGCACGTCGGTGAAGAACTTTGCCCCCCGCGGAAGTCTTTTGTCCCCCGATGCCTCTGGGTGCTCGCAGAGGCCCCAGGGGAACCTCAGGAAGCTCAGAAGTGGTCGACGACATGTCTTATCCTAGGTTTAAGTCGGGCATGCCCCCTTACGGGAGGAATCTTCAAAACCAGTAAAAACAGTCTGGGGACGATTTTCGGTGCTATTTTTTTTTTTCTCCTTTTCTTTTTTTCTCCTCTTTTTTCTTCTAGTTTTTTTTTTTTTTTTCTTTATTTTTTTTTTGTATATTGACAATTCTGTTTGTGTTGTATTGTTTGAATACTTCTTCGTCATTTTAATCGCTTCGCTCTGCCTGCCGCCGGCCCTGGAGCCCTCTTTAGGGCCTCTTGGGGGCCTCTTGGGGACCTCTTGGGAGTCTCTTGGGGCTCCTTGGCGGCGTTTTGGCGGCCCCCAGGGCCTCTTGGGGGGCTCTTGGGGGTAGTCGATTGCGGCTCCCCCCTCGGAGGCCACGATCCTCGTGAGGGGTGTCGAAAAATACCCTCCCCTGGAGTGGTCTGGTGGCTTCTCCCGGGCTTCTCTCGGGACCTTGCCGGGGGACTTTTCGTCCGGGGGCCCCCAGGGGCCGCTCCGCGCGCGCGACCTAGAAATATTGTTAAGCTTGGTGTTGAGTTGCTTATTGTAACAAGTTACCAGAGATCTCTAGCACGCCTCTGGCCCGTAGGGCGGCGGAATTTTTTATTCCAAGATCCGCCTTGTTTTTTTCTTATTTCTTTTTTTGTTTGAAGTTTGTGTTTTGTATTTTGTTTTTTTTATGTATTTTTTTATTTTTGTGTTTCTTTTCTTTTGTTATTTTTTTATTTCTTTATTGTTGTTCTGAACATTTATTTTTCTTTTTGTAGGAGGACATGCCCGACCTAACCCCAGGTGTCCACTGGATCGAGGCCGGCCGGCCGGCCGGCCCGGGGCCCTCGTTGCCCGCCCAAGGAGTCCCGGCAGCTCGGGGCCGCCCCCGCCGCCCTCCGGCGTGGCGCGGACGGGGCCCCCGCCTCCGGCGCTCGACAGGCTCAGCCCAGGCTCGCCGCCGCCCGCGAGGAGCAGCGCCCGCTCCGGGCCAGCGACGCCGCCCTCCGGAGCAGCGCGCCCGGGGCCGCCGCCTTCCGCCACAGGCGGCCGTCGCAAGGGTCGGGTGCTCCCAGGCCCCCTCCCAGACATGGCCGCGTCGTGTACGTGTAAAATTCAGGACGGAGGTTTTTCGCTATTCTCGGCCCCAGGGGGCCCTCGCCGGGCCCCGGAGCCGTCAAAAAAACGACTCAGGATGAAAAACCAGTGCCAGGGAAATGGTCGGGACTTCCAGGGACGCCGCCCTGAAAAAATCAGGACGTCGCACGTCTGGGCTTACGAGTCATGGGATGAACGATCACGACGGAAGCCGGAAGGTTTTTGTCGCTACGTTCAGCCTCTGGGTGCCGTGGCTGGGCCTCGGGACGAGGAGGAGGAGGAGGAGGAGGAGGAGGAGGAGGAGGAGGAGGAGGAGGAGGAGGAGGAGGAGGAAATGGTTGTCATGGTTGTCCGTAAGGGCTTCGCCCCCTGCCGCCGGCCCGCTCTCTCGGAGAATGGGCCATGGAAGAGCGAAGTCATGAGGCTTTGGCTTTGCCGTGAAGCAGTGTCGGGACCTATTTGTTTTTCGACCCTGACCCTGCCGATCTGCGTGAGGGGTGCCGCCGAATTTCAGACATGTGGCAAATCCCTTCTGTTTTTGGACCCTGACCCTACGGATCTGCGTGAGGGGTGCCGTCGAATTTCAGACATGTGGCAAATCCCTTCTGTTTTTGGACCCTGACCCTGCTGACCCCGCGGATCTGCGTGAGGTGTGCCACCGAATTTAAAACATGCGGCAAGTCCTTTGTGTTTTTGGACCCTGACCCCGCCGATCTGCGTGAGGGGTGCCACAGAATTTTAGAAATGCGGCAAATCCCAAATGTTTTTGGACCCTGGCCCCGCCGATCTGTGTGAGGGGTGCCACCGAATTTCAGAAATGTGGCAAATCCTTTGTGTTTTTGGACCCTGACCCCGCCGATCTGCTTGAGGAGTGTCAGCGAATTTCAGAAATGTGGCGCATCCCAAGTGTTTTTGGACCCTGACCCCCGCGGATCTGCTTGAGGGGTGCCACCGAATTTCAGAAATGTGGCAAATCCCTTGTGTTTTTTGGACCCTGACCCCGCCGATCTGCGTGAGGGGTGTAAATTTTTACCCCCCCCAGGAATTCTGAGAACCCTCCTGGGGGGTGCTAACCAGGGCAGTTTTCGGCTCCCCCCCCTCGCGCGGACAGTAACAATTTACAGTAGGAAGCAGAAAACAGTATTGTAACAATGGAAACTGGAAACTGGAACTGGTGCAGGGAGCAGCAA